TTTAGGGACCAAAAAGGGGTTTTAACCTTTTTTTTTTCTCTATCTAATGCATCTCTGAACCATCACAGAAAAACGTCATAAACGAAAAAACACAAAAGTTGATATTTTCCAAAGACTAAAAAAAAATTGCAAGCGATTATTTTGCATCACAGGAAACAAACTAATGTGAGAGGGGAAACAAATGAAATCAAATTTACGGCCAGGCCACAACCCATAAACACTTACCGCAGGCAAACCATGAAAGAAAACATTTACTGATAACAAAGAAAGGAAGAAAAAAAAAAAAAAAAAAAGAAAAAAAAAAAAAAAAAAAAATCTATAAATAAATAAAAAATAAATTAACAATGCACACTTGAAGGAAATAGGAAAACTCAAACTTTATTTTCTTGAAGTTTTGGTTACAAGCCTCAGATTTGCCCTTCTTCTCCCAATCTTCGAATCCCTCTTTTTCCCCCAATTTCCTCTCCCCTCTTAGAAGCCGAAGGGCCCCCCTTTTTATAGACCAAAGGAAAAACCCAATCCTAATGTGCTTCTAATACTCAAATCCCAATCCTAAGATAACAACTCAATCCTATTTGAAATTGGATTTCTTAGTTTTTCCCACATCTACCCCTTTTCTAGTCTAGATTCATACATTCTACGAATTAGGACTCCCACCTTTAATCAATTTCGAACTCTTTGGAGTTGATGACTTATGGTTTATCCATCTTTATCCAAATCCTTCAATTGGTTGAGCTTATCTTCAAAGAAAATCTTCTTGGCATCATGCTGGAGTTGATGAGAAAAGGGGTGCAGTAGAGAGAGATCTTAACCCCTTCAAGTTTCCAACTTTACAAAAACAGTCCATTGACTTCTGATTTTAGCATTTAGCCCCTCAGTAAAAATTGGGTTATGACATACATCATATGAGACTTCTATTTTATAATTTAAATTGTATTAAACAATTAAACATAAGTCGTTAAATGGGAGAGGACTCTCAATATTAACCTATCAGGAGGCTCACCATGTTTATACCATAAATTACAAAATTATTAGATGATACCATGTGTCATATGATTGAAACAAGTGGCCATGATTAAGTCACATCAAACCTAATTTTGCTATGATCTAGAGTATGATAGACCTTACTAATGATTGCAACATGGAATGTTAGATCTACAATTGTGATAACTCTCCTAATAATCTAGTGTTGTTTGGTATTAATTGAGATAATGGCTAAATTTTAGGAAAAATTATCAAGCAAGTTCAACAAAGGGGTGACTTGAAAGGATAATTCTGTTGAAGTGGCAGACATGTGGCAAGTTCTAGAGTAATCTTTGATCAAGTCTACTGTTGATGTATTCAATTAGAACAGGTAGTTATAACCACATTTTTGTAACTGAGTTGTGGGTGGTTATAAATCATTTTTTGGGCATTCATCAGCTAAAATTATGAGAATTCAACACAATCAAATAGGCCTACCCTCTCAACATCAACACTTCAATATGTCTTAGTCCAACACTACTTTAATTCATAGATAGTTCCTACAATGACTCTACGACTTCTTGTTAGTGTATAAGAGGTTCAACTCCAGTAGCAGATTCTTTGTTTTTGTTATTTACGGTTAAGTTAGTTCTAGTAGTTAAATTTAATATAGTTGTTCTTCTTCTATCAAAATAGTTCACATTTCTATCAATAATTTACATTTCATTCTAGTTGTTAGCAAATTTATGTTTCAACCTTCTGTTGTAATTAATTTTTTTTTTTTTTTCAAGTTTTCAAGTAAAGATCTTAGTTTTGATTCATTTATGTTGATAGCTAGTTTTTTACATTTTTACCAACTTCAATTTACATTTCTTCTAGTATTCTTAATTTCCAATTCTAGCTAAGTTTTAAGATTTTTGTTGCACTCTTTAGTTTAATGTTCTCTCGTTATTTTAGTTTTAGATCATCCTTTATTTCTACCATACGCTCCTATCTTTTTCTTATTTTTGCTTATTTTACTTGACAAACTAACTTCATTGTGGGCTAGATGTGAGAAGTCCCTTATGTTCTTCTAAGCCAATTATCTATGAACCTCCATGTGGGAATGACCCCCATTTCTATTATAATTGTCTGGTCAAGGTATTATTGGCATAATTATTTAATCAAATGAGGTTCTTCCATCAACTTCTAAACAAGTTCCTATACTTGAAAGAAGTAAGGGTCATTAGAAATTCTTCTTTCTTGCTTTCACTACAACCAGATGCATCTATACTGACGGAAGTTTTCCGTCTGTATACACCCTTTTTCCGTCAGTATAGACCCCTGGGACTATTCCGACGAAAGTCCTTTCAGTTGATGCAAACCTCGTCAGTATAGGGTGTATACTGACGATAAATCCGTATGTATAGACCCTGGGATCTATTCCGATGGAAGATTCGTCCATTGATATAGATCCTGAAAAATTTTAAGAGATTTTGCCGTGAGTATAGACCTAACCTATACATATGGATAATTCCGTTGGTATAGACCCTCGAAAATTTTAAAAAATTTTGCCGTGGATATAGACTTTAACCTTTACAGATGGATAATACCGTTAGTATAAATCTTTTTTTTTTTTTTTTTGCAATTGATAATTCACTTTTATTTAATAATTTTCTCTTAAACTTATTATTAATACCATTTTTCTGAGCTAAAGAATGATTGTTTTGAAAATCAAAATGCAAGTAGAACTTCCAAAAGACCAAAACCAAATACATTAACTCTGCACAAACAAGAAAGAAAAAAACACTACTTTGAAATTTCCTAACCATTTGCACGAATCAATCCCTTCAAAGCACACAATTGCTCAAACTAAGCTAGTCTATGCAAATCAAACTATTCAGCACAATAAAAAAGGCCATCAAAAATTCAAAAAAAAGAATTAGTTAATTGATGCACTAAATTGGCAACCATAAAAGAGGAATTCCTTAGATATATATCAATCTCAAAACAGCAGATCTTGGCAAAAACAAAAATTGCCGAATCTGAAGAAGTTTGTCACTAGAAATTATAGATCCAAGAAGAGATACAAACATGCCTTTTAGTCCCTTTGCCTATCATTTTCTTCATTACCCTCATTTTGGTGAGACAAAAGGTGATAGCTTGAATGTGAAGAGGAACGATTATTTGGGGAAAAAGCTTGCCCACTGTTAGCATCCGAAACCTACAATTTAGTAGAAAGAAATTCAGGGATAACTAAAATTTCAAAAATTCAACCAAAAGAAATGAAAAAACAAAAAAAAGATTTGAGAGATTAAACTTTGAAAATAGTGAAACCCGAACAAAGAGGTATAGATTAAATTTCGAATATTAAATACCTCTTGACGGGCCACATGTGCCTATTAAAAAATAAAATTCAATGAGTATAGATTTCCATGAAAATTGAAAATAACAAAAACATAAGCTCACCAAAAACCAAAGTAAAAGAGACGAGAAACTACAACTTAAGACTGGAGCTACAAAAAAGAATAAACTATAAGCTCAAAATTTTTTTTTCATTGATGGCCACATTTGTCAAAGCAAAACTCCCAATGAAAAATCTATTTGTCATCTGAGCAGTGCTAAGGGCACTCACCTCCTGCACTCTTCGGCCAACACTCCTTTCATTGGGCCACATTATTTCAGTTCACTAAGAGGTTGCACTTCAGAGCTTAAACAACCTTACATGGCCTAATGAAAGGGGGAGTGTTGGCTGGAGAGTGCAGGAGGCGAGTGCCCCTAGCACTGGCCTTGTCATTTACCAAACCATATATATGCAAGAAGACAAAGAACTCCTTAAGAAATAGTGAAAACTGAAAACTAAAATAATAATAGCATCAAAAAGTAATTAAATGGTTCAACAAAGAAGTTTACCTCTCTATCCAATCTGTTGGCAGCAGCTAATTCGTTGGCAGCTTGTAAAATATCTGTGATATTCTCGTTAGGGAATCTTGCTTTCATTAGCTGCATTAATCCACCCAACATATTCTCTACCTCACTCAACCTTTGCTCAACATTGCTGTTCGTAGAGGTGGAAGGGATAGATTTTTTGGAAGTTGAGACCTTGCCTAAGCAGCGAACCCTCCCTTTCTTGTCAGATCCCTTCCCCTTAGAGAATATATCATCTTGCCAAGATGTAGTTTCCTCCAATGCACTTGCAGAAGAAGTAGACGCACTCATGCAGTTTTTAAGTTGTTCCTATGAAATTTAACCCAAAATGACTTTTATATATATATATAAAAGATGAAGAAAGGTATACATCATTAAAAACATAGAATTTATGTGTTTACTAACCATCACTTGGCTTGCCTCTTCACTTACAGGTCCCCCATCCTTTTTCATTCGACTTTGAATGTAGAGTTCAGCCCTTGATGGCTTTCTTCCTTCAGCAAAGCTTTCCTGGAAAATAAACAAGCAGTAAATAATTAAATACCACATTGACTTGGACAGTAAAGCATGTAAACTACTTTTTTAATAAAGTAGCTT